CTGGAGGGGTTCAACCGAGCTGCATTTTAAACGGATGGGGAGAGCTGAGTGCAGAGCTAACAGCAGGGCACTGCACAGCGCAAGTCTCCATGGAGAGAAACGGAGACCCTTTGAGGGCTCAGCAGTGCACCAAGATGTATGTGCACAACGCCTGTTATTTGGGAATTGCATCCACTGTGGTGCTTTCTCTGGACACGGTGTAGTTGCTACCAACCACGGGAGAAGACAGGCCCAGGACCTGCCTTTTCTACCCGGATTTGGCATCAATCACAGGTTTCACTCCGCTGTTTACCACCACCAGGCCGCAGGCTGTGGCATGTGTCTCTCTCCACCCCAGCACCCTTTTGCAGACAGACGCCCGTGACAGCTATGCCTTCGTACGGATACATCCGCCACGAGATGCTGCAAGAGTAACACTCTGTGCATTCGCTTGCAGTAATTATTCTTCATTTGCTGACCTGCTGGTTTCTAGGACTGTCATTAACAATCAGCAGAACGCTGAATTACAACTCAGGCGTTATTAGCAATAGTGCTGCACACTGTTTCCAAGTTTGGTCTCCTTGAAGCTCATTCCTACTCCAGCTGAGAGCATGCTTCCATGTGTCCTTGAAGAGCACTTGAGAAACCCTGTCAATAGCCTGTGCTCATGCTGGGTTGGGTCCTTCATCTGGGCTAGACATTTCCTGTGCAGCTGGGCCCCGATGCGGATTAGGGTGTGGGCTCACGCGTGTTAAAGCTGCCTTTCGTCAGTGCTAGAGGGAGACAGAGCAGTGGTGCCCTGCAGATTCAAGTCCATTCAAGGACCGTGTTTGCACACACATGCAGGGACAGCCTTAGCAAGTTATCCATAAGCAAGCAGCACGATGCTGCGATGCTTACCCTCCTCCTGATGCTGCCCGAACACTCGCTCCTCTGAAAGTTAACGACCTTTGGTTAATGCATCTGTTCTTGAAATCCCACCTGCTAACAGCGACCTAGCTACAGCACACAAGAGCCTGGGCTGCAGGGTGCGGCTTCCCCCGGCCCCCACGCAGGACTGGGATCTCTCCCTCTGCACACAAAAAGAAGCATTCATTTCCAGTAGTGAAGATGACAGCCTAGGAGGGGCTGGAGGCTGCATTGCTGATAGCACACCCCTGGCTGCCACAGACCTGCCGGCATCACACCAGTGAGGGACAGGCAAAGAGGTCAAAAGACAAAACATTTCATGGGCCAGAGGAAACAGAACTAACACCCCCCCCACCCCTATACCATCCTCCTCCCAGCTTTGCCATAAGGGAGGGCAGAAATCGAGCTGGACTGGGGAAGGCTCCTGGGCTTCCTGCCTCCGGTTGCTAACACACCGCTGTCACTCTCACTTCCCCCCAACCCCCAAGCTTTGGAGGTAAACTAAGGGGTTAAGTTTAATTTATACTGATTTCTATTTAATATCATTCTCTCCCTGTAGGAGCCGGCAGCTGTGAGCTGATTGTACTCTCTCATTATGCAGTCTGTATCGCTAATGGCCTGTGACAAAAGCATGCCATCTTCCAGGCCTTACCCCCGAGAGCCAATTAAGCACACATACTCCCTTCCTGTTTGCAGCGCATTACAATGAAATTAAACTGAATTTCAAAATCATTTTCTCCTAAAGACATCTCTTTACAATAATTAATGCACGCTATTCCTTTGCATTTCAAATATTCATCAGGAGTGGTGACTAAAAATTGTTTTAAGCTGACTGCCCCACACCCTGCATTGTCTGCTGATGCCGAGTTGTGAAACCTTGCTACTGGTGTGATACCAGCACTGGGAACAGCACTCGGGGGGGGGGGGGGTC